TCTCTGGATGTTCCTCCAGAGTTTGTATCAGAGCTTGAATAGCTCCTTGGACAGAAATGTTTGTGTACATGGACACAACATCAAAGTTTACTAACTTATCCTCTTCTGAAATTGTCTGCTGATCTATCAATTTCACAAAATCATACGAATTTTTAACTGAATATGACCAATAATTGGCAGAGTTCCTTTGTTGTATGCATAAAAACCGTGAGATTGTATGCATCACGCTTGCTTTATCATTTACAATTAATCTCAGAGGGACACCCTCCTTGGGAACCTTAGGGGGCTCTTGCATCTCTCCGGCGAAGTGAATTCATTTTCCACTTATTCATTTCACCATTACGTCCGCATACCTTAAGGGCATCCTTTAGCCGTCTTAAGTCTTTCTTTTGGATCTCTAAGTCAAGGCCTATACGTATCATTGTCATTTAGATAAACTAGCATTTTTTCTACATAAGTTGACTTATTCATGACTACCACTGCTCCATCTTTGTCGACTTAGAGCATTACCACATAAATATCTAAAAAGCCCACTAAGAGGACAATCTTTCCTTGGCGGTATTCTATGCTCAAAATGAGGGATCACCTTTAATTCAATACTCTTCCTTACCTCTTCAGGCAATCTATCAGATGAGCCAATTAATTGAACAAGCATGTCCACAGAATGGTTTAGCTCATTTGGAAGAGCAAAATTCAATCTTCCTTTCAATAAAAGTACCACACCATCCTCCAGAGTTGTACCAGATAAATTGATTACCTTATCATTCCCCACTTTGTTACAAACTTCGTTTGTAAGATTATTCTTAGGTGCAAAGTTTCTCCACCTTATTCTAATTCTTAAATTCCGGAGCTACTTATCATGTATCCCACGAGTAGTTTTGTCAATCGCCTCTCCTAACCCGTCAGCCATTTCTTGTAACTTAAGGAAATCCACATCATTCAATGGTTCTGAGAGGGATTGTTTAAGCTTAGTTTGGGTTCTAATTAGTTCGTGCAATTTGGTAATGCCTTTCTTGAGCCTAGTTTTAACCAAACCACACGATACCTGATCGAGTTCCCCATTTTTGCATGTCGGTAGATTATAACTTCTACCGAATAAATAAAACTTAGCAACAACAATATGAGAAATACACATTTTTAAAAATCTAATTTTATTAACTGGCCGAGATATAGTTTTCTTGGTTCTAGTGTAGCGAGAAGAGAAATGACAAGAAATCGAACCGTACGTACATTTTATATATGTGTGCTAATTTTACCGTCATCCTTTCCCTCACAAAAAGATAGGCGAATTAGTGAAGAAGTGAGGCATAAAAACAGTTGTCAAAGAAACCCTCACACTTTCTTCTGTTATGCCATCTTTTAGACGGAAATATGAACAATTCTTGAGATCAAGCTGCTACAAGATTGTTTGCTCATGTGCTCGATTTATGTTGGTGAGACATGCCGAGATTGGGAGAACCCAAAAATGCTTGCAGAGGAAACTGGATCCAACGGTCAGAAGTGGCCGAACATGTAGCCTAGAAACTGGAAATGAAATAAAATGTTCTCAAACTAGTAGATTTGCTGATTATGGTACGTCTGCAGTTAAAAGAAAGATAAGAGTGGCTATTGAAATGAATAGCTTTAGAAATACGTTAAATTTGAGGAATGGTGGTAGAAAGTTGACTAGGAACTACGAATGTTTGATTGATAGATTGAACGAGAGAGAAGGTGTTGAGCCACCGTCAAAAAGAAGCCGACTCAATTTTCTGCTCCGTCATGATTCTAACTTCACTCACGTTTGTCCAACATGTTCGAGTAAGCTCTTCAAACAAACCAGACATGTCAGATTATGCAATCCCAGTCTTGGCTTTCCTTGGGAGGTTAACCGTTAATGATCCTAG